CAAGATGCTTCAAGAAACCTACCTGCAAAGCTACAGTACTGTGAAAAGTTTTAGGCACTTGTGTAAAACTGCTGTAAAGTGAGGATGCTGTCAAAAATAATGTGCTAAATAGATTTAGGAAATCAAATCAACACTTGGTGGGACCATCCATGGCATTTAAAACAGCTTTTGCCCTCGGTGCACTTGTGCATAGTTTTTCAGGTAGCTTTGGAGGTAGGTTTCTTGAAGCATCTTGGAGACGTTGGCACAATTCTTCTGGATTTAGTCTGTCTCAGTTTGTTCTGTTTCTTCATGTTATTCCAGACAGACTGGATGATGATCAGATCAGATCTCTGTTGTCAGACTCCTTGTGCAAACAAAAATCTCACTGGATTATTACAATTAATGGCTAAAGGAATGTTTTGAAATTTAAACTGAAATTTCCTACTGACACACTGGATGGAGCAAAATATAGAGTTAACTGACTTAAAACCATTTCAAAAAAAAAAATTTTTGGTGAAAATACTAATAGCATAAGACTTTTGCACAGTAGTGTATTATAGAAATGTACATATGGCCAATCAAAATACTCATATTAATAGCATAATACACTGCATATCTGTTTTTATGGTAAAATTTATGGTCTGTTCTGATTTAGAAAACCAGTGAAAATCATTTTGGCATCCTGTCTTGCCTCATAAGCCAGTGGTGTTTGGACACTTCTGGTTTTAGGATGTTGCTAGACTCAACCTTGTTGACTATTCACTCCATGTGTGAACTCGCAGCTTGAGGCAACTTTGAGTCACCCAGGTTTTGGCTGCCTTAGATAACACCTGAAACGTGAAGATTGTGCTTGAGAAATGAGCCTCTCAGCCTCTGCTCATTCCTCCATGCTTGCCTGTATCAATATAGCTAAACACCTGGCGGCATACATTTTTATTTGAAACAATTTCAATGTACACGTGTACACAGTTTTAACAATGATGTTTTTCATATTGCTAGCAAACTTTGGGCAATTCAGTATTCATTTTTTATATAATTCATTTTTGACATTCCTTATTCATCCTTAGTAAATGCTATTTGACAACACTGCACATAATGCATTAGCATCATTTCAAGCATATAATAGTATGACTAAAATAAGCACCACAGTGAATAGTAAAGACAAGAAATCCATGACTCTTGAAAGGTTCAATTTCCTCACTGCTGACAAATGAAAAAGCATGTAATGTAATGCTGAAATAAATAATTGGATTTCGCTCGGAAACAGTGAAACAGTTGAGTGCTGTTCTTGACCTCAAAGAACAGTAATACTGTATTATTGAAAGGCAATTCTATTATTTCAAACAGGCCAGTCCTTAAATTGTTTACAATATATTACTGAACAAATATATTAAAACTTGAACAGGTAAAATAAGACTGAACAAAAATATCAACAAATTCATAGCTTATTTTAGGTAGCCATCAACAGACGGAGCGACAGTTGCTTGATTTTATTAAGATAAACTGTTTCTCTGTCCATCAAACAACAGACACTTTGCCTGCACAAAAAAGAAGACAGAAATCAAACAACAGTGAAAGCAAATTCAGAAAAATGTACCATTCTTAAGTAAATCAATTTATTTTACACATTATACTATTAGCATCTTTATTTTTAAGAGTGTAAAGCGGCAAAAATAACTTCACGTGCTCGTGCCTCTCCGACAGCATGCATAGCAAAATTAGTTCTCTTTCGCTGCTGGTTGTGTTTCAATGGCGTAAAATCACTTGTTTTTAAAGGGGTCATATGATGCTGCTAAAAATAACATTATTTTGTGTATTTGGTGTAATGAAATGTGTTTATGCAGTTTAAGGTTCAAAAAACACATTATTTTCCACATACTGTACATTATTGTTTATTATTGTTTTG